TATTTATTTATTTATTTATTCTATTTATATCCCACCTATCTGGTCTTGCGACCACTCTAGGTGGCTGACAAACACATAGAACAACGAATAAATATAACAAAAAAGAAATTGTTACATCAAATAGCCAGTTCTTCAAGATGGAGAAGAGAAAATAAAAAATAAACCAAAAAAGAGAAGAGAAGAGGAAAGAATCAAATATTAACTGAAGGGAAGGCCTGCCTGAACATCCATGTTTTTAATTGGTTTTTAGAAATACCCAGCGAAGGGGCCACACGAATCTCCGGAGGCAGATTGTTCCAGAGGCGAGGAGCCACCGCTGAGAAGGCCCAGTTTCTTGTTTTCTCCTTCCAGGCCTCCCTCAGCGTCAGGCTCCTCAGCCTCACCTCCTGACTCGCTCGAGTGATACGGATAGATCTTGGTGGGAGTAGGCGTTCCGCCTGTCCCATGGTACAGTTGGTACAGCACAAAGGAGAGGGTCAGACCAGATTTATTCACCTCACATCTTTCATCACATTCACATCACTAAGCTCGGCTACATTCTATGCATTGTGTGTGTGAGAGAGAAAGCTTAGAAAAGCCACTTTAAAGAGTACAACTCTGAGAATCCCCCATTCTGGCCACACTGGCTGGGGAATTTTGAGAGCTACAGTCCAACAAAGTAACTTTGTGAAGCCATCCTGATCTGTGGCCTTGCCAGGACTGGGTCGCAGAGGCAAAACTCCTGCCCTCACACATGCGCAGAGACATGCACAGCCCCTCCCACTAATGCATGGACGCAAGCATGGCCCCTCCCACGCACGCACAGATGCCTCCTCCACTCCCCCTCCCGTCCACACGCTAAACTGGACGCAAAAAGGTTGGGGGCCACTGAATTACATGATAGATTACATATGAAAGTACAAAGTATACATTTTTGAATGCTGCTTGTTTTCTTCCTGATTAAGCAGAAATACTACGAACTAAAATAATTCTAATCTTTGAATACACAGTATACTGATAAATTATATCTTAAGGTGTCAGATTCCTAACGTCATCTCCTCTTGCTTTCATCTAGTGTCTCCAGCACATTCTTATGATTAATAACCAGTCACGCACACCATCTAGTAACACAGGGTTTATAGTCACAAAATGAATCCATTCATTTAAAATAGCTTTAAAAAAAAATCAGATTTTCCAGCAGGTCTATTTGAATCAATTGAACTTCTAGAGGACTTGATGTACTGAACCTCCATTGATTCAATGGGCCCATCGTGCAACTTACTACACTGAGCAACAGGATTTCAGCCACTGAATATTTTTGCCAAGAAGAGAGACAGGAACACTTTCGGAGCTTTCTGCCTCACATGACCAAATAATTTAGATGGGTTTGGGCACTTGTACAGCTTCATTTAGCCGAAGGGATGGGACAGAGGGATACCATTTGCTGCTCTGCTGCAGCGCAACAACATTTTAGGGACTAAGCTGTTCAGAAGAGCACATCCTACATTACTTCCACCTATATTTTACTATTATGCTTGTAAATAAACTGAATAATTAAAAACACATTAAATCTTATGTCTTCCTCATAAGACAATAAAAACAGAAGAGCACTTCCTTTGTACCTCCAGACTGCTCTGGAAAGTGGGAAGCATGCAAGTAAAAGATTGTCCATAAATCTTTCTTCAATTAAGCTCATTAGATTAGCTGCTTCTTTTATTTCAGTTCTAGCAGAGAGGGTTGGAATCAGGAAAAACACTGCAGACAATTTTCAATCAACCTTCCTTAAAACCCATTGACACAAACTCTCTTTAGATGATTTTCCTCAGTAGCTGCCAGCAGCTTCTGCTTAGGGCAAGTAATTAAGACCAAAGCTAAATATCAGATAAAATCAGCAATTAGAACTCAAAGCACATTAATGGTGCAGAAAGAGGATGGAGGCAGATTCATAAAACTCCCTGTCTTCGGCAAGGTTCTCCCATACATTTAAGAAAGAACTGGATGAAATGAGTAAAAAAGTTTGTATCCATAATTACAATACATATTTTGGTTTTTTGGGGGGGCGTGGGGAAGAAGGCTGCATGGCTCCCAACATTCTTGTTCTCTATTTTCTTCCTTTTTCATAGTGAAAACTAGGCATAACATGCTTAGTGCCTCTAAGAGCTCCCACCATAAAAAAATAAAGCCCTCCCGTTCTAGAGCAAGTGCCGCCACTCTAGAAAATGCCGACGTGCCCGTGATATCGGAAGAAGTTACGGATGAAGATGAAAAGATCATACACGAAGAAACAGTAGGAGAAGAACCCAAAGAGGAGGTGTTTGTGCCCGTGCAGATCATAAACCGGATCTTTTTTCTTGATTTAGCCAACAAGAAACTGGCAGCGATCCCATGGCAAGTTTTTGATCTGGAAGACCTGGAAGAATTGCATTTGGAAAGAAATAGGATTGACAGCATCCCTGGAAACATTGGTCAGCTTAAGGCTCTGAAAGTCCTTTATCTGAATAAGAATAACATAGAACACTTGTGTGAAGAACTTGGAGAACTGAAATGTCTTCAGAGTCTGGACCTCAGCAATAACCCACTAGCTCACAGTTCACTGAATACCATAAGTAAATTGAGGGCACTTTGCCAGCTCAGATTATATGATGTAAACCTGGATGAATTTCCAGTAGAAATCTGCAAACATCTTCATCATCTGAAGCTATTAGGCTTGTCTACCAATAATCTGGTTTGCCTTCCCAAGGAAATCGTCAATATGACCAAACTCACAGAGATATATCTCAAAGGGAATAAATTTGAAATATTCCCCCAAGAACTTTGTCACCTCTATAATCTGGAGATCATAGATCTAGAAAAAAATGACTTGACCTTCATTCCTGAAGAAATTTGCTCCCTGGAAGGTTTACTCCAATTCTTTGTTGCCCACAACAACCTGTCATCTGTACCCGATACACTGAGTAAGTGCACAAAACTAACCATCCTCGATTTGTCGCATAACCTCCTGCACAAACTTCCTCGGAGTTTAAAAGAACTGACAGAAATGAAGGAATTTGGGTTGTCTGGGAATGCTTTGGCAAATTTTCCACGCCAGATTCGCCGCTGGAAGTCTCTTGTTGTGGTTTACCTGAAAAATTGTGCTCTGCAAATGGTGCATCCGTCTTTCGCCAGACTTACCAGTATGATAATATTAGATCTCAGCGAAAACCTTCTGGAGGAGTTTCCCATAGAGATTTGTGCCATGGAAAACCTGGAGATATTGGCACTGGATGACAATCAGATATATGAGGTATGGATGGGTAACGTGGCTTCAGTGGCTTCACATTCATCTCAGTCTGTCTTGAACATGAGCACATTAGAGCAGCCCTAGAGTTAAACTATGCATGATGAAGGCAGACTGACAATGACACGATGGCAGTATTTTTAATCTGTTGTCGTCATAAAGGAAATGGCGGTGATCTGGATGAAAGCCTAAAAGGAGTGGAATGCTAGGAGTGCTGAATTCTCCTCCCACCTACACTTCTTGCTAAATCATCCTCCAGTTGTTTCTCTTCCAGCCTGCTCACTACCAAGATGGAGGCACGAGGCAGAACCTCACAGCAGAAGTTGGGGTATGTCTGTGTGAGAGTTGCAGGAAGGCCTCCAAATGCAGCAGTGCTAGCTCACCGTATTTTAAAGTTAAATAATACGAGTTACCATTTAAAGAGAAGCCCACCAGAGTCTAAAGTTACTCAGCTGTACCACTATTATGGGCTAGCTGCAGGGAATATAACCTCAGGAGACACTGCACAGAGGACGGTGGCAGGTTGAGAAGGATGCAGCCAACCTTACAGGGTCCTTTTGTGCTTTTAATTTCACCTCTCTGCTATATATATTGCAATGGGTATTTATTTGTTTGCTTGCTAGCTTGTTACACTGATAAAAGATTTCAAGGAAGCATTCACAGTCCTCTCTTCTACTCTTCACTCCCAACGTCCCTGTAAGGTAGGTTGGGCTGAGAGTTTGTGACTGCCTCCAAGTCGCTCAATGAGCTTCATGGCTCATTGGGAGTTATCTTCCCCACCTCGTAGACCAACACTAGCCATTGCTTAATACTGCTAATGTGACCTAAAGAGCTACATGGCTTGGATCAGACTAGGTAAGAGGTTGGTTTATGTTGCAGAGTTTTGAATTTCTGGTAAAATTCTCGGAAAAGTACAAAGACTCACAAAGGAGAATAGGTACATATTCTCCAAGGTTCACACCTTTCTCATGAACTGGCACTTAAAGTCACAATAACTCACTCTGAGACATTTGTAGGAGAAAGAATAAAAAAACATTTCTTTACTCCACTTGCTAAACTCAGTGGGGCTTAGGAAGTGCCTTAGGAACCTCAGTGGGTTTTAGGGAGTGGAGGGGAAAGCAGCAATCAAAGTGATCCTGCAGCTCTTTGATCCCTGCTTGCCCCCCTCCTTTTGCTAAGCCCCATGGGGTTAAGCAATTGGAGGGGGAAAGCAGCAATCAAAGTGCGGCAGGGTCCTTTTTGATCCCTTCCCCCTCCACTTGTTTTTGTTCTCTCCTCAGCTTACTCCCATGTATAAAGACCCTTAATTTTTTGTCTAAAGATTTTAGACAAAAGTACTGTCTTACACACAGAAAAAAATGGTGGTTAAAAACAATGTGAAGGCTCTCGTCAATACATATACCATGTGACTGCCAAATATATATATATTGGTACAACAGAGAGGTATGGAAAGAATCAACATAACTGGGATTCTTTTCTCATCTCTGATTGAATCCTTACACTTGCTTGAAATTACAGATATGTGTTTGCTGCTTTCTTTACTGCACTCATTATTAACAACCAACGGAGGGAGATGAACAACATATTAACAACCACCACTAACCAAGGAGAAAGAAAACAGCCCCCAGCAGGGAGGCAGGGTTTTGAATTTAAAATCTGGAAGAAACAATTGCTTAGTGCTATATAAATAGACAACCACCTCAGCCTAGAAAAGTTCCTCTCAGTCAAACAAATTATAGGCAGCACGCGAGGTTGCAAATAAAATTCTACATGTTTTCCTTTGAGAGCCTGACCAGAGCTTTCTGGAAACTCACGAGTAGAGCTGTCCCTTACTGCTTGCCTCCAATGTCTAGTGTTCTGAAATGTACAACTTCTGCCCTTGCCTAGTAGTCTTCATTAAGCTACCTCATCTCAGATCTTTACTAACAATTAGGCTGCTTGTCCTGTCCCCTCCCCACCCAGCTGTCTTATCCCTTATCCCCAGCCTCAGGTAACACATGGGGGGCAAGGACAAAAGGCAGCATTATAGGCCAGTGTGGCCTCAGTTTTCCACAATTTCTGTAGGGTGGCGGGGAAGCATCTATGTGCCCAAGGGAAGTTACCTCACTCACTGAGAACTCTATGGTTTGTGGGAGTACACAGAAATAAAAAAGAGCTTTATTAATAGATAAAGTGGTGACAGGTTTCTAGCTACATAGATTGTGGCTGAAAAGAACTGTGAAGATGTTCAAGCTTCCGTCTTATCAGTTATACAGTAGTCTGAATAGCTTCAAATGGTATTTTACTCCTCTTTAAATTTTTGGATTACAATTCTCAGAATTCTCAAGCCAGCATCTGCTGAACTCTAAGAGGTATTGTCCAAATTTAGTGTTTCCAATTTCCAGTCAGGTGGTTGTAACTTTTAACGTTTTGTGCTTTCTTTTCTTTCTTTCGCTTGGAACGAGGGTTACAGGTTAATATTTCCCTTTTGTTTTCAAAAAAACTGATGTTGAAAATGTGTCAAGGTACCTCCAGATGTGCAAAGACTTGCTCAGCTGAAAAGCCTCAGCATGACTAGCAACAAGTTTGGGTGGTTCCCTGAAGAAATCTTTCAACTTGGATCACTAGAGAGATTGTACATGGGGCAAGACAAGGGGATGAAACTGACAGATTTGCCAGAAAACATCAGCCTGTTACAGGTGAGAAATGAAGAAAAGATGGGGATGGTTAACATATATATATAGAGAGAGAGAGAGTGTGTGTTCTCAAAATACCCTAGGCAGCAAGGACCCAGACCATGTTTCCTAGTGTATTGAAGCTATTGACAGAGTGTGGATATTTGATGGCTTAAAACCTTCTAACTATGCAGCAGAAAAAGTTCAGGGACTCACAGAGCAGTATTGGCTTCAAATCTCCCCACAATAGACCAGCCCTTCTTTGTTTAATTCTCCTCAGCTGGCACTTACTGTCTCAATAGTACACTCAGAGTCACTGGTAAGAGAAAAGAATAAAAATTTTCCGTTTACTCTCAGTTCTTTATAGATCAAAACAAACAGCATTCTGTAGAAAAATATTAACTGGTTATATGAACAGAGCCTAACTGATTAACTAGCTTCATGACTGACTACTTGTGACAGTCATAGCTCTAACTGTCTGACTACATTTCTTAGTGACAAACCACTACTGGCTGAAAAATGTGAGAAAAGAAGACCACTTCTTCATCTTCGTCAATACATACAGGCAGGCACGACTCTCTCCAAAATTCTAAGGCAGAGAGGGAGCAATTGGTTGCTACTGGGTGGATTGACAGCAACCCCAGTCCAGAAAGGTCCCTTCCAGCCAAAGCCTCCTAAAGGCCACATACAAGGGTGCAAAAGTTCAAGCAAGTACTTCAGTCTCTCTCTCTCCCCGCCCCCCCCCAAAGTACATCTTCTATTCCCTGAAAATGAGCTGTGTTCCCCTTGATGGTTCTCTTATAGAGAGAAAAATGGAAAGGACACCATGAAAAAGATGTATAGTTCTTGTAAAAAAAAGATAAAATATTGGGTAGGGTCTATTTTGACTCCTGTATTTCATCTTGCAATGGATGGATTCTTCTGTCTCCTTTGCTGACTCATTGACTGATAGGGTATTAAAATTATTGTTATGTTTCCTAATGGCCCGGAGCCCTGAAATCTGGGCATGTATAAGCTGTGTACTACCAGGATCCGTAGCCCCTGAAAAAATGAGACATTTCCTGCCTTACTCGGGGTAATGTTATGTTGGGGCTCCAGAGACATGTAGGAGAATTAAAGAGGTGGGGTTTTTGAAGGAAGATTTTTCCAGCTACACAGATGCCCTGCCTTGCACTTCCACAGAAAAGCCAAACACAAATCACCAAGATGAAGGGTTGCTTTAATGTCTGTCACACTGCAGTCCACAGAGCCTGCCTATATGTATTGACGAAGATGAAGAACTGGAGGTTTCAGCCAAAAATGAAGTTATTGTTTTCATATGGTTTGGGCAGTTTGGTGTACTTCTGGCATACTGGAAATAAGGAACTTCCTGACCCTTATATAAACTGTGCTCTGTGGCACTGCCTGTTGTTTAAGTTCTTTACAAACAGATACCCACAACTTGTCTAAATAAACTCTGTTTCCCCAGGAGCACATCAATCAGTTCTCAGCTGCAACAGTTTTTTTCAGCTGCACATTTTTTATCTGACTGAATTTGGATAATCCCATCCCTGCATTTTATGGAGGGAACAGAGCAAATAACTGAATGAAGTAGACTCAGGGGGAAAGATACACCAGAAACCCCATGCATACTGCTCCCCTTTTTCCTAGTCTTCTGGTGGTTCCTTACTCACAGCTGGATCTTTCCCCTCCATCCAGAACAGACCTCTTCTCCCTACTGGTTTTTTCCTCCTGCATCGTTCCCTGACAACAGAATTTCCCGGAAACTGCCTAGTAGGCACTAATTCGGCAATTCTGAGTGTTCCATCATTGCCATTTTCATCATGATCATCTTAGAACTGCAGAGCTGGAAGAGACCCTATGGATCATTGGGTCTATCGCCTGTCAAAGAGGCACAGTGAGGAATTGAACTCTCAACCTCTGGCTCTACAGCCAGGGGGAGATGCTGGAGACGTAGGGTTCATGATGAGGCTTAGGATTAAGGCTCACCCATGATCTGAGCAAAAGCCATGCATCATCTCAAAATGTCAGGGTGCTTTGCTGGTCAGGCATCGGGCTTCCAATGATCAGGATAAAGATCAAAGGAGTCATTGGGGTAAGGCAATAATACATCTCTGCAACTTAACTTCTTAAGCTGCCTTTGTTTGCTGCAGGATCTTACAAGACTTCTGTGGAAGTGGCATTTTATGTAGAGTTTCAACTGTCTCTGTGGGGTTCTGTTTAGAGAGGATTGTTATGGAAACCTTTTGCTGCCACCATGGAGGGATTCACTCTGGCCAACCCCAGGAGCACTTCAAAACTTGGTACTATCCCTAGTCAATAGACCACTCTAGGCGGCTAACCATGGAGGGATTCACTCTGGCCAACCTCAGGAGCACTTCAAAACTTGGTACTATCACTCCTATTGGAAACTTATACCCAATGAGATTGCTTCAGAGCTTGGAAACAGTGTGTTAGATTTAACACATTGGCTGGAATCCTATTGGGTTTTCATAAGATCTGCATAACATGTCAAAGCTTATTACAGCTAATTGATGCAGTACCAGGGCACATCTTAGTGTGGAATCAGGTGTGTGACGTGGGGCTCAACTGGGATTCACCCCAGGACCTTATGAATTAGGTGCAATTAGCTGAAACAATTAGCTTAGATAAACCTTGCATAAAGATTAGTTGTATTCTGGCCATTAATATTATAATCATTACTTTTGTATTAAACAGAAAGACTGCATCTGATCATTTAAAATTGCATTTTTAAATTAATGTAAAATGTTTAAAATATTACATGCAAACTGTTGTTCTTTAGAATAATCAGCTGACGTGTTTTTAATTGAGAAAAGAAGACTGAGGGGAGAGATGATAGCACTTTTCAAATACTTGAAAGGTCTTCAACTACAGAGGAAGGGCAGAATCTGTTCTCAGTCATTACAGAGTGCAGGACACATAATAATGGGCTCAAGTTACTAGAAGCCAGATTTAGGTTGAATATAAGGAAATACGTCTTAAATGTTAGAGCAGTATGACAATAGAACCAATTATCTTGGGAGGTGATGAGCGCTCCAGCACTGGAGCCATTCAAGAGAAAATTGGACAAACATCTGTGAGATCTGCTTTGATTTGGATTCCTGCCTTGAACATGGGGTTGGATTTGATGGCCTTATAGGCCCCTTCCAACTCAATTATTATGTGATTCTATGAGTGTTGATATATTAAATCCAACATATTATTCAAGCTCTGCATTGTTTATATTCAGTTTCACTGGCAGGAAGTACACAGGCTAATCAAAATGAGTATGTTTCAAAACTTTCATCTGCTATTTGGTCAGATGGCACTATCCAGATGAAACAAAACTTGTATATCATAATTCTATTACATAAGTCTCAGGTGCCCAGATCTTCAGGTTATAAGACCACCAAGGTATATGGCCAGAGGCCCTAGCTATCTAGATAGTCCATAGCCAGGTTCTGTATTACCCATTCCTTCTGGTCAAGCTGAAAAAGCTGTACAATAGAGCCCTTCAGAGCCCAAGAAGGTAGAAAGATGTATTGCCACATTCTTTTAAAAAAAAGAGATTATTTAGTTATTCATTTATTAAAATATATATCTCATGGCAGGGTGCACAAAAGCACAACACCAAACAACGTAAAAGCAAATTGAAGCTGTTTTTAAAATGTTAAAAAACCAAAACAAAGCCCACTTTTAAACAGTTTAAGTCAATGAAATAATGGAAAACAATCCATACAGCTTACATTGCAGACCATATTATATGTCTGTTATAGTCACGTACCCTGAAGGTTTGACCAGTCGATAATGAAATAGGGCAGTAGTTCCCAAACTATGTACCACAGCACCCTAAGGGGCTGCCAACCCCATCCAGGGGCACTGCAGAACCCATGGAAGTACTACACAGGCCAGGATTCCCTACTCCATTCTCACGTTCTCATCCAAAGTATTGTATTGAGGGAGCTGGAGCCAGCCAGTAATTCAAGGGAGATGTGAGTTGGAAAAGTTTGGAAACCTCTGTAATAGGGATATAAACATATATATCCAAATGCACAGAAAAGTGCTTTTCTTCTTCCAGAACTTGAAGGAACTGTACCTTGAGAACAACTATCTGGAATATCTTCCATCATCCATTGGCTCACTGAGTAACCTGCAAATATTCGACTGTCACAACAATTTCCTTATAGAACTGCCTGACTCCATCTGCCGCTTACAAGGTAAAAAGGCAAGAGGCCAATACAAAGTTTTAATCTGTAATTTGCTACTCAAGAGGTCTTCTCAACATGCTTTAGCATCCTTCTGGCCTCAGTATCGGTTTTCTGCCCAGCTGAACTCTCTGTATAAATGATAGACAGTTAGGAATAAAATATTCTCCCTTGCCATCATACTTACTTACTTACTTACTTACTTACTTACTTACTTACTTACTTACTTACTTACTTACTTACTTACTTACTTACTTACTTACTTACTTACTTACTTACTTACTTACTTACTTACTTACTTACTTACTTACTTACTTACTTACTTACTTACTTACTTACTTACTTACTTACTTACTTACTTACTTACTTACTTACTTACTTACTTACTTACTTACTTACTTACTTACTTACTTACTTACTTACTTACTTACTTACTTACTTACTTACTTTATGTGCTGCCTTTATCTCTATAGGGGACCGAAGGATCATCACAACAATTAATATATTATTATTTTATTTTATTTGTTGAATTTATACCTTGCACCGTCTGGCAGTAATACATAACCAAATAGGGTAAATTAAAACAGATGGAAATGAAGGTGGTAAAAAGGGTGATGGAGAGGATGGCAAAAAGGATGGTAAAAGGGAGGCTGAGATGCTCTGGGAAAGCCTGGCGGAAGAGTCAGGTCTTCAGTGCTCGTTTGAACCTATCCAGCGAGGGTGCCAAACAGATCTCAATGGGAAGGTTGCTCCATAGGCGGCGGGGGGGAGGTTGCCGAAAAGGCCCAGTTTCTTGTTCTTTCCCTCCAGGCCTCTTTTGGGGTCAACATCCTCAACTGCTCTGCCTGTGAAGAATGGGTATTACGGACAGATTTGGCTGGGAGCAGTCGTTCTGATAGGTACTGAGCTCCTAAACCGTTTAGGGCTTTGAATGGTATTATCATAAACTTGAAGTGGATGCAGAAATGAACTGGTAGCCAATGAAGGGCGGTCAGAGTGGGGGAGATGTGCTGGAATTTCTTCACCCCAGTTATTAACCTGGCTGCCAAATTTTGGTCCAGTTGAAGCCTCCGCGTCAGCCTCAAGGGTAGCCCCATGCTGAGAGCACTTCAAGGGCATTACAAGGACATGAATCATCATTGTGAGTGCCCCCACATCTAGATAGGGACGCAGCTGGGCAATGCTCCAAAGATGGAAATGGACTGCCCGGACCACCTGGGTTTCCATGGTAAGATCTGGGTCCAAGCAGATGCCCAACCTGCAAACCTCACCCTTTGTGGGAAGAGTCACTCCCCCAAAGGAGAGGGAGTTTCCTAACCCACTGACACCGGGGCCACCCAAGCGCAAGATTTCCGTCTTTTCCAAATTCAATCTCAGTCCATTTGCCCTCATTCACTCCACAACGGTCTGCAAGCAGCATTCAAGAATCGGAACAGCATCCACTGCAGTTGGAAAAAAGGAGAGGTAGAGCTGGGTGTCATCAGTGTACTGATGACACTGGGCCCCACAACCCTGGATGGCCTCACCCAACAGCCTCATACAGATATTAAATAGCATTGGTGAGATGATCAAGCCCTGCGGAACCCCACAATTGAGGATCCATGGGGTGGAAATCATCTCGCCAAGCTGCACTCTTTGGGAATGGTCCTCCAAGAAGGAGCAGAGCCATGCCAAAGCAAGGCCCCCCATTCCCAACTCGGAG